TGACAAGTAACAAATGCAGCATACCTGTGCCCGAATATGCCTTGTCTGGTAGTGTCAACAGGGAAGTTTTCCTTGATTACGGCAGGCAACTAAATTTTTGTATCACAGAGGGGAAAAAAGCAGCACCACAACTATTTATTTTTAGCATTATTGCACATACTTGTACACAAATAATCTACAACTGAAGCAGCTCGAACCCCCATTTACATTCCTTTACGGCACACTAAATCATGCACTTTATTGCAATAAAATGAAAGCCAATATGTGTTTATGTCATTAGTCCAGTAGAGTGCCCCTCAAAAAGTTGATGTTAAAAATATTCCACATACATTGATTGATATGTGGGGTTTAACGTCCCAAAACCACTATATGATTATGAGAGACGCCGTAGTGGAGGGCTCCGGAAATTTAGACCACCTGGGGTTCTTTAACGTGCACCCAAATCTGACCACACGGGCCTACAACATTTCCGCCTCCATCGGAAATGCAGCCGCCGCAGCCGGGATTCGAACCCGCGCCCTGCGGGTCAGCAATTCCACATACTTTATGGCAGTAACTAATGTCATTGTAAGGACACTGCCATGTTCATGTTTGAGGCTTATAAAGGGTTTACAGAGACTCATTGTTTTATTTGAACCATGATATTGATGAGTCATCAAAAGCGCTTCACCAAAGCTGGAGCAGTTAGCAAAGAATGCGCCAACGCAGACTGTCGTTGGTTCTTCGAGTACATGTACGACATAGTTCTGTCTTCCGTGGTCCTTTTAAGTTTCTTCTGCCACATCGATACGTATACAGGCACATGTGTAACCTGACCATTTTTCGCAAAAGAAAAAAGGGACGGGGTTGGGACTGAAAGCTGAATTATTTATGTATTGAGTGAGGTCACAAAATCAATTATTGTTGCATAAAAATTTAAACTTGATTTATGCACACTGGTTTTAGCAGGTCTAGCCTAAATTTAAATGGTAATGGGAATATTAAAGGTGCCCTGCAACACTTCTCCAAGTAATTGTTGAATGGCTTCATTCAAGTAGCTATTGCTTCATGAATCAACTGCTGCAAAAATTTTTGTAATTCAACAAGCTTGAGCGCAGTTACAGGGATTTGTTGCATGCTTCAATTGACAGCTCTCTCCTTTCATACCAGTGAGTACTCCCGAATCTACACAAAGGGGGGGGGGGGGGGGAGCAAGAAGATGCATCCTTTCATCAGCATACGACAAAACCTTGAGCATTTTCTTTTTAGACCGTGCAGCTTACTTTCAGAGAGATTTCAAGCACTTGCTCAGGCACATGACGGCCACTGGAACTATTCAGCTCGCAATGCTTCAATGAGCCAATGGTCGCGGACTTACGGTTTATGGCATAATTTGTCCAGAGAATAGGGAACGACTTCTAGCTGACTTTGAGAATTAATTGTAAATTCCAGGCTGTGTGCTACTATATTTTTTGCTAGTATGTTCTAGGGAGCCTTGACTATCGATCGTGTTAGTGCCACACAGGCATGAATTTTACTAGTGCGTAACAAGAGGCCACTAAACATATAAGTTGTAGACTTTCAAAACAGTTCTCTAAAACCTCATTTTAAGCTTGATGGGTTCTGGGAGAGGTATGATGAACTGCTTGCATACTATGACCAGTATTATATATTGAATGTGTGCACCCCTTTTTTCATCACAAAAAACTGACACAGCATTTACTAGTAAGAGATTGATTGCAGCAAACAGGCTGTGCGAGCCTCACTTCACATGGCTTAGCCGGGCACATGCAAGTACACTTGTTCATTAATCCAACACATTTGGTGCTACTGTCCTCCCACCATGTGCAGGCAGCATACATTTATTAACAGTCAAACTTTTCAAATTACAGAGGCTTTGTGAGAGACTCTAAAATCATTGCTTAATGAAGTCATAAGATGTCCCAGCAAGAATAACAACTGTTAAGCTGTGATTGTTTACAAATATTTTACAAAAGTTGCAAGAACACAAGCACATAATTATCATTTGTACTTGTAGGAAATCAAGATTATGACTTCTTATTCAGGTATGCCAGTAGGCTGAAAATGAGTGTTGAAGACGAGAAAAAGTCGACATTTTTTGCACTTTTGCTTATTACTGTTGCACAAATAACACTGTCAAAAAGGAAATAAAAAGAAAAGCAGTACCTCTTTTGTCACATAGGAGTACATCTTGTAATTTGCCTTCCATTTCCCTTGGGTAGCATCGACGTAAAAGCCAGCACCAGTGCCTAGGTCGTAACTGTCATCCTCTCCTTCAATGTTGCATCCACCTTTAAAAATTACAAAATATATGCAAAACCATATACATACTCAAAGAAGTACGCAATGGCACAAACTTAGAAATGAGAGACACGAGAAAAAAAGTTGGAGGGAGCAGAAAGGTCGGGTTTATCTTTTGAAAGTGATAACTATTTGAAAGAACAAGCCACCAGATTACAACAATTTGTGCATGCTTGTATCAATATCAGCAAAAGTTGTTCACACTTGCACATTAAACAGCTGCCTCAGGTTTTGTAAAAGTAAAACAGACGTACCACCGATACAACTCATGTCTCGCTTCTTCATGTGAAACTTAGCACTTGACCATTGCGCTCCCTCCTACTTCTTTTCTTCTGTCATTAATTTCTAAGTTCGCACTATTATGCACCCCTTTAATGTTAGCCGAATCACCCAATAATAACTCTTATCGTATACACAATCTCCTTATCAAGATGTCAGCTCAGTAGAAATGCACATAAAATACCAGTAATTGGTGTGCTGACAAGAAAATTAAGCAGAACAAACTGTCAGAAAACAATATATTGTATGCACTTTTCAATGCATTCAGTACAGTGGCTGCACAAAATAAAGGCAATCACTAATTTATGTACAATATAAAGATTTAGGTTCATAATATCTGTTGTCAAAAACTTACATGGCAGGCAGAATAGTGATGTAATAATTTCTGAGGTTTTAATTTGCAAAACTAGGACACTGTTATGAGGCATGCCAGATTAATTATGACTAAAAATAGACATGTAGCAATTGGTTTCATTATTGGGTCACACTTGAGTTTTTTACAATTCTCAAAATCATTACCTCAATGCATCATTAGCTACTCTGGCACTAGAGACTTAGAGTTAAAATCCCACCATAAGAATCTTTAATTACATTCACATTCCATGGTGCACGACAGATTGTGATCAAGTCAGATTGGGATGGTCTCGCTTTTTTTAGCTCATGCAAAGGAGCTTACTGAATTCTCTTCAAATCGGGCATGATCACGAATAATATCTGATGTGTGGCACCATTCTTCTAAACTTGGGGTTTACTAAATGGTAAACAGAACATGTTTTTACTAAAACAATTTAAACTTTTGGAACAGCCTTACGAGGGATAACAAGAAGCGCCACTTCAGAGATGAAAAGACACCACACAGAATGATGTCATGCTGATCATAAACGCTGTGGTGGATTTCTTAAATACGCCCAATGCCCACACTACATTAAACTAAACTATAACGATCCATTCGCATATATTTCTGGCAATTGAGGGAACTTAAGGTGCCAAAAAACAATGAAATCCCACTCAGGACTTCACATCCACTCAGGGCAAGAATTTATTTTGCAATACTTAGCTAAGTTGTATTTTAAAATTTAATTCCTTTGAGTTAACAAGGCTGTAACAAGATATTGTATTAAACACTTATATTCTACTTCGGAGGTCGACATAAGATAGACTTGAGAAGCCTTGACAATGCAACATACGTGCATTACACGCATTTTTGAAATACGTAAGAGAGCACGCCAGCACGTGTGCACGCTACGTTGAATCATAGTCCTTCAATACTTTTTGAGGGACTATGGTTGAATTAACCGTTCTTCACAATCCCCCCCGAGTGTTCACAAAAGGATATGCACTTGTTTACTGTAACACTAAAGATGAGTTACTCCTAAAACTTACGAGGGCTTGTGTCGGGGCATACTATAGCTATTGACATTTCGCTGGCATACCTCTGGGCTCCAGCTTTTTGTATAAAATTCTGTTCAGTGCAAGTCAGCCCTGCAATGCAAATTACATAAGGAATTAGAGCGCATGCAAGGTGGCACAATATTCCGGGGCACTTTATCGTTTATATCATGAGGAAACAAGAAGGTGGTAGCGCTACTTCACCAGAAAGCCAGTAAAGAAGAGGGACGGAGGTGACTTCTGATTTAGGCGGCAAATAGATTGCGAACTTCATGGAGCATTTCAGAGTTTCACTGAAGTGGCTGTAGACTTTCTGCAGGCCATTAAAACACTTGTTACTGGAAACCAACGTCAGGGCTTCCATTTCTGATTCTGCAGTTAGTTAAACTAAGCCAATTTCTGCGAACAAGGAGGAAGACGCCCAAAAAGCACTTCTAGATCTACAGCAGCCGATAAACGTAAAATTCGGCTGCTTGGTGGTATCACGTGGTGTGTGTGTGACTCGATTTTAGGAAACTCTATGACTGGTGCGACACATGAAGACGTTTTGTAGTAACCACAAGACTCTATGGCGTGGTAATTGCTGCCCTCTATTAAAATTGATGCGAGGTAATTTTTATTTTTATGTCCCTGTGCGATCTGTGAAGGCTAGCATTGCAAATGCTAGAGGGATAGCACTTCATTTTATCTTTGCGACAAAACGAATCATCTAGAGTACTTATTTGTTAGCGTTAAGAGTGGTTGGCTGTTATCTCTTCTGAACATGTGTACTCATTTTCCTACGTTTCAATTTTTTTTTATTAATTCGACGCACATCTTTGTGAATTATTGTGAAAAAGTACCTGGCTTAGCCACTGTCTAGAATTTCATTTCACGTAGACGTCGCGTTGCCGGAATGTGCAAGCACAGTTGCAGCAGGACGCATTGCGTGCAACTAGGCTGCGGCCGGCGGGCAACACGCTCAACAGGAGGGCCAAAAGCGCGTCGCGACACCTATGAACTGTATGACTAAGCTGGAACGGTGTGTTGCCTTGAGCGAGGGTGCATAACGCCGTGGTCCTGTGCTAGTAGTGTGTTGCAATTTGGCGTTACACAAATTTATCACGACAGGAGTGTGCTACGATGCCTTCGTTGGCTTTGTATGAAGCGTGGCTCCAGTAGACTGGGCGAACCGATGCATTTGCTCGATCGGTGTCAGCAAGCGTTCTGTGAGCCCGTGAGTGTGGGGTTTTCGGTTTCGGAGGGTCAGCCAGCCGACATTTGCGTTAGGCCTAGTTGGATGCTATGCAGACTGACAGAAGCGACAAGTTACTGCTTCGCCGAGGGAGCCGCCGGACGCGAATCATAATGGAAAAAGGTGAGTGCCTACGTCTGGTCTTGGCGCTGTCTCGCCAGTATGTTTTGGCGGAACCAGTCTTCATCGCGAGCGATCGATATTGTTTGGGTCGTCCGCCGGAGCGCAAGGGTAGTGACCCTGCCGAGCGAGTTTTTTTGACGCTCGCTTCGCCTTGCGGCATTATAAAATAACCCACGTGCTTGTAAGATTCTTCCGATAGTCCAGAATAAGCCTTAATATTGACTGCGAGCAACACCGACCGCAATCGGTGATGGTCGCATCATGATTGAGGTTGATTTCTGGACGCTCTTCAGGTATTCTGCTTTCAATCGGTGGTGAAATGAACACCCGTTGTTGCGATCTGGTGTCACTTATTCGAGCTGGTTATGATTCAGAACATAGAGAGCAATAAAAAACGCAGCGGCACTTCGCAGTGCCGCCTGATCGTCTTGCCGGCCTAATTCTCTTTCTTTTTTATTGTTTTACAAATGAGAACGCCAGCGTAAGCTGCACGACAACTTGGGAAAGTGCCTTGAGCAATGTCTCGTCGGCTGCCGGTGCGGATGCTTGGCATTCTTGAGGGGCCCCTTTTTATGACAGTATTGATATCGCCGATCCTAGCTGTTAGTTGACGCTTCCGGCACCCCTTTCCCCCCGTTTCGCGTGCTGCCTATTGTTCACGCCCCGACACTATGCCGTGCAGGCTGCACAGGAGAAATATCATCTGACCCGATTTGATAACGAAGTACGACGTCTTTCCATGCCGATAGCTTTGTTCTCTCTGCTCGTCGGGCTACCTTAGAAATCGTTTAACGAATGACTGCTCTCGCTATGCAGCTGGTCGTCGCGCTTTTTTTTTTTCTTTTCGTTCTCGTAATATTCGCCGTGAATGTTTTTTTTAACTACTGCTTAGTGATCCTACCATGAATCAAGTGGTCAAAAAATGGCGTTGCCGTAATGCTTGGGGAATAAAATAATAACAAAGCCTTGATAATAGGTGGAAACTAGGAACGCTTTTTCCATATGCAGTTAAGCCAACGCATTGTAATTTTTTCGACTTGTAACTGAACCTTTTTATAAGAGACACTGATATAAGAGACAAATGGGTATAGAGACACCAGTGTGCCACAGTACAATACGGGTTGATAATAAAATGCGTATGAGGTACTGTGCTTATGAGACATCTCATATAAAAGACCAGAATAGCTCTCAAAAGCATGCCTTTTGTAAAGGGGTTTTACTGTATACCTTTAGGCAACCTGTCTTGAGCCACAGCGCTTGAAATCAGTGTGGAATGGTCATAGTGAAGTGGCCATTATCACCGAGAAATTTTCCCCATTTCATCTTCACTCTTCTTAACCTTGACATAACTCGTGTATCATCAGGTATGCGTCAACATAGCATTCGTTGTAGGTGATAGTGAAGATTCTGGGTGCCATTGTAGCAAGTGACATGTATTGTGGTAAGATTGTGGGTGTGTACTGTGCTGTGTTTTCCAACTAATTTATCTGTTGCAGTAGTTTCAGTTACTAGCCTGGTATATGGGATTGTTCTGTTCGAGCTTGTTGTATATTGCTTGCGACTAATTGTGGCTGAAAATCAGTAATGTTACATGATTTGGGCTTATGGCCGAGTTGGATCACTTGCCATGTATATTTGTCAATTGGGTTTGTGAAAAAGTCTAAGTGAACAGAATTTATCCTCGTAATGGTGAAACTTCATAGTACATCATGCGTTTTATAGTAGATTATAATGCGCTTTGGCAAGTCATGCTCACATTGTGAAAGTTCCATGTATGAGAAGTCTCACAATTCACCCTTGCCTAAGTGTTGTTATATTGACCTCATTCATACATGAACAAAATAAGGGAAAAGTTGTGCTTTCGTCCACTTTATTTTTCTCGCATTTATCTCACAATGACTACAATACAGGTAAAAAAAAACAATGCAGGTAAAGGCCCCTATACCTTCCTTGGCTTCATTATCTGTTAGTTTTTATTAATGGGACACTACGGAGAACTATTAAGCCGACGTTGATTGTTGAAATTGCGGTGCAGAAACCTCGTAGTGTTACTTTCAGGCCAAGGAAGGGCCCATTCTGAAATAAAATCATGTTTTGGTGGTCTGCATCGGGTTAGTGCACTTCAAGTTATCCGCCTCAAGAAGCGCACTCTGGACCAACTCGCATAACTGTTGCCGTGCACCAACGTTGCCCGGCTTTACTGCACTAGTAGCAGCAGACCGAAAGCAGCGGGAGCCACAGCAGCAACAACGGCCAGTGATCAATTCCCCGCCATTGGCTTCGAGATTTCAGTCGTTTTTTGTTTTAACTGCACCCCGCTAGATGGCACCACGTGTCCCGTGTAACCACGCGAAAATTTAATTTTTGAACTATTCGCGCCATTCCCCATAGTAACGTCCGGCGGTTCTTTTTTTCATGAATCAAACAGAAACGAAGAAGCAGCATTTCATTGTGCCTCTTGATGCACGGAAGGTTCTTTATTTAGTGCAGTTAGATCAATTACTAGTGATTGTAGGCAGTCCGTCTGATGTCATCTGGATCATTTTGAAAATGTCCTACTGCGGCTCTTGTGTTCTTGTGCATTTACCTTAATGTCTTGGTAAGTGCTCACTGTTGTTGATAACATTGTCGTTTTAGATGTTGTCATACAGCTTTCACTCTGATGTAAATTGTTATTTGACTTTCAGTGTCCCTTTAAGCTAATTTGTTCATGCCTCCAGTTTTAGTAATAGCAGTTGATGCCATAGGAGGGGCTGGGGAGCTCAGGCCCCCTCCGGGCTGCTTCATGGTGGGGGCATATTTTCCCCCTCCCCTGTGGCACTGGCTTGGGATATTTTTTTAAGAGCTTGGCTTAGGCACTCATCCATGGTGATCGGACTGTACGCTATTCTGTCTTGCAGCTATTTTGCAAGGGAACTGTTTATTCCTACTCATTTTCCTTTCGGGCTCTTAAAATTCGGCGGCGGCAACATTTCCGATGGAAGCATAAATGCTGTAGGCCCGTGTACTCGGATTTGGCTGCACAGAACCCCAGGCGGTCAAAATTTTTGGAGCCCTCCACTACGGCGTCTCTTATTATCATCTGGTGGTTTTGGGACGTTAAACCTCACATATCAATCTTATCATTCGGATCATTGCTCAATAGTAGTATGGAGTCTGGCACCGTGATCACATTGAGAACGAATTTGCAGGATGATGAAAATCGTAACATTTGCACTTGTGTGTGGGATGTGCACATCAAGAAAGTGAAAGTTTCGTTTTATGGAACAGACAATTGTTTTTGTATTTCTAATACTTTTGATAAGTCTTTGTATATATATATATATAAACATACATACATACATACATACCGAATGGCAAATCTGAAGAAAGAAGCTGAAAAAATGGGTGAAAAGATAACTTGCCGTGGCTAAGAACTGAACCTGCGACTTTCGAATAATGCGTACGATGCTCTACCAACTAAGCTCTACCAACTGATGCTCTATCAACTGAACCACAAGGTAGTAAAAGGTCTGCCGTTGCCTCACCTTCATTGCATAGCTCGTCAGCGCGAGGTGTCAGTGGGGCTTTTCGGCAACGAATAATGGATGTAATACAACTGCTTGTCACTTGTTTTAGTGATACTGCTGTGTACAAAATAAAAAAGGGCTATAGTGCTAATTTTCTTGAACACTATCTTTCCTTTTGGGCCATTAAAGAGCAGGTTATTATCAGCGGCATCATAATCTCAAGGGGCAGAACCATAGTGCAATCGATGGCCTGCAGTACAGTATTGGTGTGTTGGTTATGGCTTCTTGTAATTAACACATGGTAATAACAATTAATGACATAATTAAAGTATAGCTTACCATAGCAGTTTTCATAATATTGTAATACTGTATTATAAGTCATCGACTATATTATAATTCTGCCCCTTCGGACTGTGAAGCAGTTGCAGTGATGGACGTGCTGCTCCAAACTGCTCCAAAAGAGAAATGCTGCTCCAAAGTGCAATATTTGCTAGTAACTGCTCCAAACCTGCTCCAAAATGGTGTTGGCACACTAAAAAGAATGAAGTTGAACCATGGGATCATCCCGTGAGTATAAGCGAAACCAAAATCACGCCGCTGTATACACTATCATCCTAATATTCTACAAAGTGGCGTAAATCCAGAAAAATCTCAAGGGGTGACACATATCAGGCCATGGTGTCCAATTCGTATTTTTAATGGGGGTTGTATTTTTATTTATGTAACAATTAAATTATTCTTTCAAATAAAGTTTAAAAAACGAGCATGGGGTCCGAGCTCGAGCAATTGCATTGTTCTAATCAGTCTTTTTTTTTTTTTTTCACCTTTTCTTGCTATCCATCGTTCACACAGCTGAGGGGTATTTACTACAGGTACACAGTAAAAGATATAAAGCCTTTTAAAAAGTTGATTGCACTATATTTAACTGTTAACTCAATTATATCAGACGCTAAAGCTAAATCTCAAGTGGGACAATAATTGCAAGGTGTGTCCTCTACAGCTTGAACACCAGAAAAGTCCAGACTCCCTTAATCCCCCCCTGCCCATGATTATAATCTTCCCCCCCCCCCCGCCCACGACTATACTGCTTGAATTATAGCTGCATACTAGCATACAGCATGTTTAATATTATTATTATTATTATTATCAATATCGTTCCTTGGTAGATCATCATCATCATCAGCCTGACTACGTCCACTGTAGGACAAAGGCCTCTCCCATGTTCCGCCAGTTAACTCGGTCCTGTGCTTGCTGCTGCCAATTTATACCCACAAGCTTCTTAATCTTGTCTGCCCACCTAACCTTCTGTCTTCCCCTAACCCGCTTGCCTTCTCTGGGAATCCAGTTAGTTACCAGCGGTTATTCTGTCTAAGTGCTACATGCCCGGCCCATGTCCATTTCCTCTTCTTGATTTCAACTATGATATGCTTAACCCCCCGTTTGTTCTCTAATCCACTCTGCTCTCTTCTTGTCTCTTAAGGTTACACCTAC